CCCAGAATATACTTGCAATTATCACCACACGTTGAAGAGAACAAAGGACAATGGACCCTTACTTGAACACCAAAAAAATATGATACTTTCTTCAAAGAAATCAAAAAGCATCGTAAGTATGGAACAAATCTCCAACTCAAAGTTATGCAAAACAGAGATCAAATTCTTATCGAATTGGAAAAAGACCAATATACAAAAATATTTATTTTGATTACTCCTGAATATAACCTAGCTACCAACCCTAAGTTTTTCTCTAGCTCTATTGCACAGGCACATGTAAGAGGCCCTTGTGTACCTATCCAAGAATATTCAACATGGAGATAAGCAAGGTACTTGGTGACAGGGGCTAGATAAGCAAGGTTTTAAATGTCGGATGTCGGATTCATGTCGGATGGCTGAAATCCATGTCGGATAGCGGAAATCAGGGATATATCGGGGGACATTGACTAAATGGCTGAAATCCATGTCGGATAGCGGAAATCAGGGATATATCGGGGGACATTGACTAAATATCGGATTGTCATATCGGGTAGTGCGCATATGTATAATATCATGTCCTAAATGTAATCTAAGCATTCATAAATTCAATATAAACATACTTTATAAATTATATAGACTAAACATATAAAAGTAAATAATATATGGATTTGGGTTCATAAATTCTTTCTATCGGGTTCATAAGAAACCCTTAAACATGAGAACGGGTCGAACGGGTTTGGGTATTTATTACTAAACCCAAACCCGATAACAAAAGCCATATCTTAAAAAAAAGTACAATATCAGCCGATTTTTTAAATCTAAAAAATAGACCGATATACCCCATATGACCCTGATATTTCCGATTTGGCCCTAAAAACCGACATACGAGTTGAAAACGTCCATGTCGTGTCGGTCAAGCCCTCAAACCGATATGTCGGCTGACATGTCGGACATGTCGGCCGACATTTAAAACCTTACAGATAAGTCTAGCCTAGACCCTGCATCAACATGAGGGTAAGTGCCAGACATGCCTACACTGTCTTAAACAGAGTCACATAAATTTTGTAGTTGTTTTGAATTCGTAATGGCCAAGTGAGAACCCATTATAGAACTTAGGAACCAAATATGCCTTGGATTATATTCAGTTTGGGTCAGGTCTTAAACATGTTGCTACTTAAAATGTACATATCCTTACCCATGGTTACACAGTACGCGATATGTAGTGGGTCACGGTCCTATTTCGGGTACGCAATTCGCCAGCTAGAGAATTTGGATTCGTCAGGGGGTAGCTTGCTTCGGTACGCAAGTTTGGTTAGTGGTACATTGTAAATTTTTTACGAGTGCGCTTAAAGTTTTCCAAAGAATATATTAGAAAGCTGGAAAGCTAATTATGAATTTTAATATTTTTTTTCATACAAAATACTTAAATATTTTTTTTAATAGAGTTTATTTCTTTGTTCTACTTTTTTTTTATAGAGCTTGTTTTAGGATCATGGTTTTATTTTACATTTAATTAACATTCGTGTTTAGTTACAGTAAAGTCATCAGGTCATATACTCTATTGTGTTTCCCTTCACTTAATTGCACACATCGCATTGCGTCTTGTGCACGTGCACTTAAAGAGACTTTGCATCTAGCATATTTGTAAGTAGCACGCTAATATTAGAGAACTGGTTCATGTATCAGAGAGAATCGGTTTGCAAATGTACTGAGAATCGGTTCGCAGGAACTGTACAACGGTTAGGGGGGTCCAAGGAATCGCGCAACAATGTCCTTACCCATCTCAAAGGAGGACGAAATATACTCTGTTTAGTCTCTTCCTCCCTCTCATTCTATACATCTCTTCTCATCGAACCTAGAACCAATGACGAACAGGCAAGACATGAAGAGTCTCTTCAAGATTTTGAATTTTGACCCTAGATCATGTTGGTAACTTGCATGTTATCATATTTAGGTTCATGTCAATTTTTCAATTGTTTAGTTGACGAAAACGTGTTGTGTTTTCTTGCAAATGGGGTTTTTTGTATATTTTGTATGCTTTTTCTGTTGTGGTTAGTATCATATTAATTTCAGAGCTTGTACATACCCCCCCCCCGAATGAAAGTAGCTGATTTTTGCTTGTATATACACACTTTTTTTTGTCCCACAACATATTTACATTCTGCGTGTTCATGACCTATATATCCTCATATTCATGTCTTGCCATGTCTGTATCTAGGCAACATATTTCTCTATCTAGGAAAAAGAAAACCAAACCTCTTAAAATATTAAAACAAATTATTACAGAATAGAGTTCTCAAATTCTCTGCCCATCAAAATGAAAATACTCAAATGTGTTTGGAGAACATAATTTATAGGCAAACATTAACAGAATTCTACAGGAAAAGATTGGCTTGAACTTCATCATGTGTATTGATTTATCAATCTTTCCCAATGCCTTTAAACCAATAAACCAACAAAATTATTAATTAGTCACTGGACATAGAGGAAAAATATCTTGATAAAGCTAAATAAAAACCAAAATCTAGCATTCAACTAATTTCCTGATGTCTCCCTATCTAAAAAGAATTCATGATGTTACACATCTCCACGCCAAAGCATCATCATTACCAGACGGGAATCTACTAAACCAATAGTAAAATATGGATATGACACAACATCATAAAAGCAGTAAGAAAGAAAGGTGAAATCAGAGACTCACAGGACTCGACTGCGACAAGGTAGTTGAAGATATGGTCGCCGCACCTGAGGAGAAAAGGCAGAAGCTTTTGGAGATCTTGACATATAATTATCCTGAAGTTGCCTGTTAGCAAAATCACTGTTATCATAACTGACCTTAGCATCTTCAGTTATTCCAACATTCATAGCTATCTCCTCCTCTGCCTCCCTACTTTTTTCTTCTTTTAACAGCAGCATCTCGTCCTGCACAAATTAATAGTTTGCATCTACCAAATAAATGAAAATACACGAAACAATTAATGTAAAATATGATATCTGTGATAGTTGTTGGTTACATTTATGTACCTTCAGCCCCTGAAAGGAACTATTCATTCCTGCCATATATGTTTCAAGTTTTGTATTCCTCTTCAGCAGCCTTTCATAATTCTCCTACTTGTTCCAAGAGCAAGAATTAAACATGCATGTTATTTAAGCTAAGCAATCATCTGAACCTTCACATCTCAACGGTAGGGTATGTTGTTGTACCTTCAGTCCCTGCAAAGAGCTATTCATCTTCTCCATTTCAATTTCTAGTTTCACATTCCTTTTCAGCAACCTCTCATAATTATCCTGTTATTTACGAGAGAAAAAAATAACCAAACATGTACAATATTTAATGCAAGGAACAATATTATACTTGTGTTAGATCAAAACATTGGCATCTGAGGTGACGACAAGCTATTTATAGTTGCGTCACTGGTACCTTCTCAACTAGTAAATGCCAAAAAGAATTAATGTTAAATGAGTGAATGTTGCAACTAGAATCACATATCTAATATTGACACTTCAATGATGACAGCACTTTATGTCGGCAACCACTTTCTTCCTAACTGCTATTCTAGAACTTCCATGTGTCAATTCCATATTTCTCAAAACATCATTGGTTAGAAAGCCAGAAAAGGAATCAGTCAGAGTACAATCCCATTATGTCACGAACTAGAAAAACATTGATGCTACACATACAGCACTTCCCTGGGACAGATATGAGGGTACAGTTCAAAGCAAGTGCTCCTGATAAAATGTCGGTGGGAAATGTTATGTGCTAGTCTAGGAGTATTCTTCTTCTTTTTTTCATCTTGCCCGTTGCTTTATGAACATTGGAGAAGTTTAAAAAAAGATCAAGTATTGAAGGTGGGGGCGTGTTTTGTTATCTATCCCATTAATGAGCAGGAGACAGAGAAGCAAACTACCTTCCAGATGTTTTTTTCCAGCTCCTTGAGCGATCGCAAGTCCTCCAGGTCCCTATTTAATGCATAAAATAAAGGAACAAATTAATGTAATGGCTTTCTTAGTTCTTACCAATATCATTCCTTTAGAACATCTGTTTATGGTCAGAAATAACACATCCACAAAATCAGAATAATAAGCAATGTTTATACTGTATATAATTATTCAAAGTACCAAGTGGGCTACTTGGGCCATACCATATGCACACACCGTAATGACTAAATGCACGATGGACGCTTATTCCAATCTTTGTGCCATTGGCTCTACGAATATAATGAGGAAAAGAAAAAGATATAGGCTGTGTACCATATGGGGGTTTATTGCAATTGATAGATTACTTGCTCTACAAACATATTGAGGTTTATTGACTATTACACAACGAAGACTTATTGCACCAATGTGGTACTGGCTCTACAAACATAATGAGGAAAAGAAAGAGTTATTGGCTCATTACACAATGAGGGCTTATTGCAAACAATGAGCTACTGGCTCAACAATCATATTGAGGCTTATTGACTTATTACACAATGATGCCTGCTGCAACCTATGTGTAAGTGCTTTTACAAACATATAGAGCAAATGTAGTTATTGGCTTATTACACAATCGGGGCCTATTGCAAACTATGTGTTATTGGCTCTCTATTCATAATGAGAGAGGAAAAAATAGTTATCAGCTCTTTAAAAAACATTGGGGCTTACAGCACTCTATGTGTTACTGGCTATACAAACATAATGAAGCTTATTGACTCATTATACAATTGAGGCTTATTGCAATCCGTGTTTACTATTGACTCTACAAACACAGTAAGGCTTATTAGCTCATTACACAATTGAGGCTTATTGCAAAGTATGTGTTACTGGTCGTGCAGACATAACTAGGAAAGAAATAATTACAGACTCATTATACAATGGGGTCTTATTGCAAATCTATGTGTTACCGACAAACATAATAAGACTTATTCACACACTATAGAATGGAGAGGTATCGTAATATACGTGTCAATGAATCTACTAACATAATGAGAAGTTATTGGCTACACAATGGGAGGGCTTACTGCAATCTATATGTTATCGGCTCTACCAACATAATGGGGCTTATTGACTCATTACACAATGGAGGCTTACTCCAGTCTCTGTGTCATTTGATCTACAAAACATAATGAGCAAAAGAAACACTTATATACCTATCCATAACACCAATCCTCTCTTTTAGAAGCTCGATGTCCTCCTTGAACTCAGTCCCACAACCCTGGCACTCAACAACAGTCTCCCCCTTTCTCCTCCTCTCCTCGAGCTCCTCCGGCTACAGCATAAGCCCGTCACTAGTAAACCCTCTCATAAACCTCTCCCCTCGATCGCCCACAACTTTTCCCGCCATATGCTTGAGCAAATGATCTAGTAACCCAGTATCCCCAATATGCTTCCGGGCTTCGTCCCTCAGGTCTTTTCTAGTGATCCGGGTCCCGAGCTCTGCGGCCTTCTGCCGCATTACGTTGATCACCATCAGTGAAGCCCTCTCGTAACGCTCTGCCGTCCACCGCTCCTTCGAAGCCCTGGACCGATTGCGGCTCTTGCTCGTGCATCCCTCCTGCTTCCCGTTCCCTTTCTCTTCTTTCTTCTTCTTCTTCTTAACCTTCTCGGTTGGGATCCTGATCGTTTTGCCAGACCTCTTCTTGCCCTTGAATTTAAACGCCGGCATCGCCAGCAGCAGCGGAGGTCGTGGAGGCCGCGGAGGCTTCCTGTCCTCCTCCGATGATGATGTTGAGGAGCTGGAGGAGATCTCGGTTGGGGTTTGGACGAAGGATGGGCCGAAGACCCAGAACTTTTGGGAGTTGTCGTCGGCGCTGCCATTGGATTTGGGAACTACTCTCATGGCGATGGTTGATCGAGCCCAGATCGAAGATCTGGGCGGTGATTTTGGGGTGAAGGAGTTTTGATAGAAAATGATGGAGATATATTTGGGAGATTAGGGTTTTGGGGGGTTTTGGGAGAAAAGGGAATCTGGGGGGAAATTTTAGAGAGAGGGGAGAGTAGAGAGTGCTGAAAATTGCTACTCAAGAAAAGAGCTGAATAATAATAACATGTTACAAATGCCACCTTAAAAAACTTTTTTTTATTGCAGGAAACCTCCTGTTTTAATTCAGCCATTGCCCTGCGCCCCTGCGGGAATGGAATGCTCATTTTTCTTCTTTATCTACGCAGAGATAAAAGCAAAAAAAAAACACACTCTGATTTATAAAAAAATAAAGAAAAAAGCGGGAATGTAATGCTCATTTTTCTTCTTTATCTACGTAGAGATAAAGCAACAAAAAAACACTCTGATTTATAAAAAAAATAAAGAAAAGAAAGTGTTATAGTGTTTACTCGTCCAAGATATAGTATTTACAAAATAATGCAATAAGAGCCCTAGTCAACTCCCAAGAATTCTATGCATATGACTTCTCAGTCGAATAACAAACCCTTGGTACCTTATCAGGAATAAACCCAAGGCACAATCACAGATGCCTCGGTTCCATTAACTCATCAAGTCGACACTCGGGTGTCGACATGAAAGGCGATATAAGTTGACACGAGATATCCTAACCTCCCAGACGAGTCGACATCTTTATATCAACTCGAAAGACGGTTATGAACTAAGATAAGATGATATTCCAACCAGTCGAACAGGCTGACACTCCTGGGTCGACGCGAAAGGCGGTGTCGATCAACCCTATCATCGAAGACGACCCAACTTAGGGCACTCGATCACTCACTGGACATTTCTCAGAAACGACTAGAAGGATATTCCCTGCTGTCGACTAAATTGAAAAATTAGCCTAGCCTCAAACCTCTCCCCCAGAGCATATGTCAACATCTCAATCCACCTCGGACAAGCCTCATACAGACTTTGACCCGATGGGTCTCTATGACTTGCCAGCTCAAAGCACTTCCTAAAAAATACGGAGACACCATCTCTCATGCTGAAATAACTCCCCCTCCAGTCGCCAACCGACATCTGTAAAGTGAGGGACGACTCAGTATGCCCACGTGACTTCTGTCACATTCACAAGTCACTTCCCGGACATCGTGGTGATACTATCTCCCATGCTGAAATAACTTCCCGTCCAGTCATCAGTCGACACCTGTAGAGCGAGGGATGGCTCACCTTCCAGCTCACTCTTTGTCACCGCCATTCTGTATAATCAAAATAACCAGTCTGCCAGGGACATCCACTTTATATATGGAGGATGTTCACCGTCAGAAAGGAAAGGACCAAGAAACCTAACCTAAGCTAAGGTAACCGAATCTATCCTAACAAAAAACTCTCGGATTAATTTAAATCTTCCTCCTGATCTAAACTAAGAGATGATCATCTCTAATGCACATAGCATAATAACATATAGTTCTAAACTCCGATTGAGCTTAAGTTCATCAGCTGACTTGACCGTCGGAGGTACCACGGGGGAACTAGTGTCACGCCCCGCTTCCCAAAATACCCGGGAATCGGGACGTGAACAAGCCTGCGACGTATTAGATTGAGAAGAAATATACACTACCATTTTTTTTTCTTTTCTTCTCAATCCAATACGCTAAGCGTCTGGAAATAAATACAACGCGAAGTCACAGGTCCCCGATCACAATCAGTAAGAATATAATAGACAAACTCAGAATAAAAGAATACATATCATATCACAAATGAATATCATCCAAGACATAATGATACGGGTCCAACATACCCTTATACAAACTATCTGAATGAGATACTGGAGAATATAAAATACAATGATCAGGCGGAAAGAAATGCTACAAAAGTAAACTGAAGGAATAACTAAGCTTCAACTTGTTCTTCTGTTCCATCTACAAAGCACTCCTGCTGAGAATACTCGGCTCTGGCGATCTCCCAGCTGGACCTGTTCTTCCGCTAAGTCTGACGTACACCAGAGAAAACAGGTGTACGTCAAGTGCATGGCGCACGGCAAGATCCGACCCCACAAAGAAAATAGAACGAACGGAAATCTAATGCGAAAAACGATACGATAACAGAAACAACAAAAGAACGTACAACTGAAATCCACAAATCAACATGAAAACACTACTAAAACATGATAATCATAAAGCATCCAAAATCGATCAGGTAACGAGGTCATGCAACTAGCGATCAGAATAATCATACAAGTCACAAAGTCATACAACTAGATGGAATTAATACTTAAAAATCTACAACATGAGACGTAGTACGTCGAGCAAAATAATCCAAACAAGAAAACCCTCATGTATATACCATATGTCTCAAATTGTAGATAATTAAAATATTAATCCTTATCTATGTATGAAAAGAAACGAGGTCAAGTAACTAGCCATCCTATAACAGGTCACTGGTCACATCTCACACAGAGTCAACGCTCCTATCACCGGATAACTGGCTGTTCACAAATCCCCTACGCGCATCCAATCCCGCGAAACGGGCGGCTAGAGGACTACACGCAATCCGATCTCGGCCCGGTCCGGACTCAGGCAAAGCTCAGGTGACGAAACAGGTCACGGATCCAAGTGGCGAAACAGGTCACTTGGTCCATCAAACCAACCCCAGGACGAAACAGGTCTCTGGTGCGGCCTGGAAGATACATCAACAGCCTTATCCGATCACATGAACATTAACTTCCTTATCCCAACTTCTCTCGTTTTCTAAGTCAAACATAATTTACACTGGAACTCGGTTTCACCACCTAAACTCAGTCAACACACCCACACATGCCACTAAGTCTATTCATGACGTACGAGGCCCCTAAGTCACGAACTACTAATGGTTCTCAATCACAAGATGGACAATACATAACAGACATGTCAAATACACTAAATAAATGCAAAACGTGAAATATGATCATAAACAGCAACTATGTAATTCAGAAATCAATTCCTTTTTCCAAAATAATTTCTTTTAAAATTATCTCTCATTATTAATCTAAAATAATTTCTCTTTCAAAATAAATTCCTTTAAGTTGTTATAATTATCAAAAGTGATTCTTTTGCCGAATTAAATTCTTTTAACTTATTATAATTTTCCTAAAATGATTCCATTGCCAAATAAATTTCTTTAAAATTATTTATTAATAATTCAAATAATCTTTTTATAAAACAATTTCCTTTAAAATTCTTTAATATCATTCAACGACAAATCCACACATGATATCACAATATTCACATTATAACTAATCTATACACGTACTTAATTAACAGTATATCTAAAAAATTTGTAAAGACGAGTCAATAAGTAACGGGATCTTGCCTGCGGTTCGTCGAACAAATCAACACTGACGGCACGGGATCTCAGCGTGGCTAGAGGCTGCCGCTAGCGGGAGGGTCGCCGACGATGTGGAGGAGAACACCACTTGGCGACGCGGGTGGCTGCTGGAGTTGAGGGTCAGCGGGCTGTCGATGTGGGGCTCGATCGGGGAGAGGCATTGGCGACGGGGCTGAGGGAAGGACCGACGGCTAGTTCGGTAGAGGGCGAGGACGGCGCTGGAGATCGAGGAGCGGACTGGCGTCGGAGCTCGGGAGAGCTGGGTGTCAGACGGATCTGGTTGGGGTCGACGGGCGAGGAGGCTGATGGGACTAGGTGGCGGTCGAGCTCGAGTTGCAGCGAGGTGGGTCGGCGTCGAGGTGGTTGCAAGGAAAGCGGATCTGGTGGGGCGAGGCTGGAGTTGGTTCAGGCGGTGGGCGTGGTTCTGGTCGGGCAAGAGCTCGGCGGCAGGGAGATGGAGGTTGGGGTTCTGAGAGAGGGGCCGCAGGCTGGAGAGGGGAGTCGGTCGATGGGCGCACTGACAGCGGGATCTTGCCTCGGGTTCGTCGGCGGTTGTCGGAGGGCGGTGGTCGAGCTTGGAGTTCGGCTGGTTGGGTTTGGATGAGAGAGAACGAAAGTGAGAAGAAATGAGAGGAGAGAGGAGATGATGTGTCGGCTGTAGGTTGGCTCAGGTGAAAGAAGGAAAAAGAAAAGAATATATATAGGTATGTAATTAGGGTTAGGGTTAGACATTTAAACAAGAAATAATTCCTAAAAATTACAATTATTACATTTTAAAATAAATAATTATGTGAAAATTATCTATAAAATAAAACGTACTAGTTATGCTATGTAACAGTAGAAATAATACAACAAATTATACAATTAAACATGAATAATTAATAAAAATACAATTACTTATATTTAAGATCGAATAATTATAGGATAATTATCTACATAATAAAACGTACCAGTTGTAGTAATACGACTGATAATACGCGATAGTAGAATTAATACAATAAATTATACAAAATAACATGTAAT